AAGAGCATAATGATGGAGACACTGGGATCAGAGAATGACCTTCTCTCTGGTTGCTGGTGCTCCAGTCCTCCCAGTCACACAGCGCTGGGAGGTAACCAGTTTCAGCTGAGGCGCTGTGCTTTACCTCTCAGGAAACGTGGCCTGGTTCCAGCACTGTGTGCGAGCAGAAAGCTAACGACAGCTCATGCTAACAGAGACGTTTCTAAAGCTGGGTGTCATTCCTGGTAACTGGGATCTGAGCGCTGACCCACGTTAGCTTGGAGAGAACAATGCTAGCTGGTTAGCCTGCTTTTTATAGAGCGTGCACGTATGCCTGGTGCACAGCCATCTTCTTCACCACAGAAATATGCAGAACAGAGGTAAACAGTCCAGCAAACATCAATGTGATCAAGCTGAAATGTTTATGGCTCAGACAAACACATCTGCCAGAGGTGCAGGACAACCTGGAATGAGGTGAGAGGATTAGGCAATGACGGCTTTTTAAGGTGACAATCTGATTTGAAGCTGTTTGATGGTTCAAATAAAGGACTGAGACAAAAACCTCTGTTAGGCCGCCTCCTCAAACACTCCAGAGCAGACACTTGACCAGATAGCATCTCACAGAGCATGTTAAGCATGCAGGAAAGCAGACAGATTGGCTGCAGGAGACAATGCCAGCCCAGGAAAGAGGCTGCAGACTGATGGGGTCTTCCCACCGAGTCAGAGATCAGCATAAAATGGACGTAAAGGAAAGTTTGTGAGAGGAATGAAGCCTTCAGAGGGAGTCAGCTCCGTAGCTGTTGGCCCGTCAGTCTAATGCCAGGTCCAGCAGGGTAATGGCTCCCAGCATTGACAGTTAATGGGGCATCCTCTGCATACCAGACAGATGGTTCAATGAAAGGAGGCCTGACCTCTGCTGGCCCCGCTAGGGACGGCTCAGACACGATAAAGGCCCCGCTGTGTGTCCTAACCAACCTAATCCACCTGTCAGAGCTTCAGCTACAAACAGGTGACTGAGTTTCTACTGTCAGGCTCAGAAATGAAAGCGCTCAGAAAAGGTTATCTCTGAACCAAGGAATGCCACCATCTTTGAGTCACATGATGCGGAGGCGTTGATTTGGACATTCCTGAGATGCTGGAAATGTCTCTCTGTTGTCCTTACATAAAACCCTCCAACCCATCCCACAGAGACGGACAGACGTGGTTTTAACCCGAGCTGCATCAGCAGCACCGGTTAGTCTGTCTAAACGTCTCTGTTCACCTGAAGGAAAGCTCTCTGGGAATGATGGGAACCATGGGAATGATGGGAACCATGGCAATGATGGGAACCATGGGAATGATGGGAAC